TATTTAAACTTACATTAGTCCTCTACAAAACGTGCAAATTAAATTTATTTTCTTACAGCAAAAATGTCAACTATTGTAATAAAAGGAAATAGTTTTAACATTAGATATTTCGCTTGGTTGCTTCATTGAGTAATCTGGATTCATTGGAAGTGTTATCTAGCTGGTAACCAGTTTCGTCGCCATTTTCATTGACAATTTAGAATTAAGTTCTTACATAGATATATTAATTTACATACCCCTTCTTGATATTAAGAGGTCAGAGAGACCTCACTTAAGCTAATATAACCTAGACCAACTGATAATCTATCAAGAAGGATGATAGGATTTTGTTTATTTTTTCAACGTGCTTGTGCCTGATCCTGCACGGAGAGCTCCCTACAGTCAGCAGGACAGCTACCTGGCGAGGATCGTGACTATCAATATCCCGCAGGACAGATACAGTGTCTCTGCCACAAGCTGCAGTCGAGTTATTAGTCACGTTTGGCGTATCAGAGGTAGTCTGATCCTTATCTGAAGCGAGGGAAGTATTTGTCAAACTGAGAGAGGCATTGCGAGGCACACTGGAAACGTTCGAGGGAAATAGTCCCACTTATATAAGTGTGAGTGAATAAGGTTATGGTCCAGCGTATTGTAGGTCCTGAAATAGCAATATACCATAATTAATTGAACCATTTAATATATACATTTTAAAACATATATGTGGACATTTCCTACTGAATAACAGTGAGTAGTGTTAACCCATAATAGAAAATACAAGAAAATTAACTAATGAATATTTTATTCGTGTTTAACTCCCCCTCTTTGTAAATTTCGGATCCTTGAATGGACTAAAGTACCATTTTAGCATTTGATATTGTTGAATTGCTATTTGTTAGTAAATAAGTGTTGACGTTCAATTACGCTGCTCACAAATTCCCTCGTCTGTACTCACAATCTCAAAACCTTATGAAGAAAACTAGCAGAGTACCCGTCCTTCGTACGGGGTTGGCATATAAGTATCAAATGCTTATAGCAGTTATGAGTGAGGACATGGTTTAAGAAATTTCGGTTCTTTTTGAAGTTCGTTCGCTACGCTCACTCACCTTTAGGTTGGAGCTCGTTCGCTGCGCTCACTTTCCTTCAGGTTAGCTCGTTCGCTACGCTCACTTGCCTTCAGGTTAGCTCGTTCGCTACGCTCACTCGCCTCCAGGTTGAAGTTCGTTCGCTACGCTCACTCACCTTTTGCTGTTGTCATAAATGTAAAAGAAATAATAGTGCTAGTGCTGCACCCTGTTGGTAATCCTTGTAACTTTTAATGCTATTGAACATCATAGAACATAACCAACTTGTTTAATTGAAACAGCTGTTAAGATTCATTAATTCCATTTCTCATAAGGTTAACATGGGAAACTCCAGAGCCACTGGGGCGGAGCCCCAAAGGATTTTTTGGGATAAAAATATGCCTATATGTTAATCGGGAATGTGAGCTATCATCATGCCAAATTTCAGCCCGATCCGACCAGTAGTTTTTGAGATTAGCTCATACAAACACACACACAGACACCACCTCTTCTTTATAATAGTATATAGATAGATCATTTTGAGCTCAATTTATAATCTTGCAGCGTATATCTTATCGTGTTTCTGTTCTTGTCAAGTCCGTGAAATATCTCAACGATTGAGAGACTCAAGACAGAACAATAACATCTTAGGCCCTTCTAACGTCTCTGGACATGGACAATAAAATCATTGATCCTGTCCGTTCTGTTGTTTATCTGTCTTTTATCGCCGCAAAGACGTTTCGGGTCTTACAACTAGACAAAACAATGAACAGATTTAATTAGAAAAAAAAAAATAATACAACTACGGTAACTAGAAATAATTAAGTGTCCACCCAAACATAATAATTCAGACGTTTTCTCTGACGTATTATGCGAACTCATTAACCGAATAGAAGAATTATTTTTACTTTAGGTATTCATATACAAGTTTTGTTGGGTCTGAATGGCTATATTTATGAACACCAAAAGGGTTAAGGGGAAATAGACAGACATACCTTTTTAGGCCTACTACTGATGAATGTTCTATAACAGTGTCAACGGAAGTATGGACTGATTTCTTTTTGGTGTCAAAGTAAGCCGGTTAGTAGTTTCGTGATGTTTCAGTTCAGGTAGCCGGACTGAAGTTGTTCTAAGACCAAGTCCTCAAAAACACAAATAACTAACTATTATTTGGACAAAAATTAAACAATATGTAGGTAAATAAAAAATATTTATTTAGAAAATGAGTTTTAAAAGTATAAATTATAATTTATTAATTTACGGAGGTTTGTAGTCTGTTTAGTTTATTTTTGCTAGAATATTTGACTGTTAGTGTTCTACACAGGAGAATGATACAAAATGATTGAAATACAATTGGCAAAAGTTGAGGATTTTTAGAATAGATCATTATCTCAACGAAACATCGGATCAATTATTAACTTAAAACTCTCTTGTTAGAACGAAAAATAATCAAGACAACGAACAGAACAGTATAGAAGAAAATTTAAACTTGATAGGAAAGGAAATCCTAAGGCTATCAGTTTGTAGTGTCCTTATATTACTGTAAAGATTAATGTTTATATATTTTTCTGTACTATAAACATAACAGCATTCCCTTCAATGATTACATTGCAGATAAAATAAATCCTCTCTGCTGTAACTGTAATGATTTTTATTTGTACATCGCTACGCCATTTCACAAAACCATAAACGAAGGGTTATGTTGCCCTCCTTTATTCTGATAAGTTAACATTACAAAGTATTGCAGTCAAAATGAACAATAGTTTTGTAAAAAAATGTTATGTTCAACAAATATTAATATTGGTCATTTATTTAAATGATACAATTACGAGGTATTTCTTGTGTAACATAGTTTTAAGTACAAAAAACATTTGGCAGGCCTATAACTAGGTCCCCAATTATTTTTTTTTTTAGAATCCATAAAAGTAATCGCATAAACATATAAATAGTTTGAAATTAATATACAATGCATTTTTTTATATTCTATCAACACATGATGACTCTTTAAAGTCACAATTAAAACATTATAATCCCGGTCTAATTAAAATCAAAGTGGATTTAGACGAGAATATGATATTTAAATCCACCATACGATGATTACGATGATACGTAGTTTGACTGCGTTAACACTAATAATTATTACTTTCCTCTTTGGCAATACGGTGTTAAAAAGGTTATGTTTACGATAATAACTTACTAAAAGTCAATTTTCAAATTATCAGATTCTACAAATACATTTCTCATTTTAATCTATTGAATCATTGATGTGGCCAAGTATTAACCTTAATCCAAATTGCAAAAGAAACTCTTAAAACCATGTTCGTATTTGCTCAGAATATTTAATCTTCCTCGCAACTATATTTGAATGTGGTTTTTATTATTTTGGTTGATTTCTAGTAAATGTTTAGTTGAACCCGTAATTTTGGGTTGCAATTAAAAAGAATTGCAAACCATGTTTGGGGTTGCACGGTCTTAATATTTGATAACTTTAAACTAACTTGAATTGAAAATTATTGTAAAGATATACATAACTTTTCAAATTGTTTTGAATGTATTTATTTTGAATGAGTTATAGTGTTGAATTACGCTTTTTACAGTAGGTAATTTAGATCATTTAATGAACATTCATTAAATTAATGAGTGTTTTATAAGTCTAAATACTTTTTATGGGTCTTGGTCTGCAAAAAGTATGACAATCTTCGAAAACCGGCAAATTGAATTTCCGTATTAGAAACAAAAACATTTCTGGTGATATTGAAGTAAGTGCCGTCCAAAATATGAGAATACTCAGCCACAGATGTCAAAAATGTGTTGGACGGACTTGGAATAAATTACATTCCCTCTAGGAATGGCCAATAACCAATCTATTCATCTCGTACTTTGGTTTTATTGTTCTTTGAATGTTTCCTATTTTATCAAAATCAACCTATTATTTTAACTTTATTGGTTTGGTCATAATTTCACAAAAACATGTATGTTTTACGGTTATCCTTTTGTAGGTATTTCTGTCTCAAATTATTAAATAAAATTATTTGTTTAAAAGGGGTTTATTTCTTGATATCCAAAAAATCCTGGAAAGAATAAATTGAAATGTTAAAGTGTAATCATAATCATTGTCGACAATCCTTAGACAAATACAAAAGTTAAAGATGACAAAATTAAAGCTTAAGTAATAAAAATAATGAAAAAAATTGTCAAATACTTCAGAGTTTATTATTGATGCTTCATTCGAGACAGTTATATGTTTGTGTTTGCTAAACTGTCAGTCCGTTTTAGGTTATTGTAGTTAGTTCCTCCTGTCATAGCGTACATGTTCTTATTATTGACTATTATTTAACAAGTTGCTAAATTTGGTCATGGGAATCTTCGTAATTAATACATTTGGTTAAAACTCAATAGATCTTGAATAATGGTGCTATGTTCTGAGATCACCACTTTGTCAGACATCACATATACTTTGTTTTACAATTAGGTAACAAATATTTGGTACGTGACTTCAAACAAAACAACCAAACGAAGTTTTTATTTCGTTTTTAAACTAATCCGACGATTTTTAAGCTCAGTTACATCCTTAGTGTGAAATGTGCTTGATTTTAATGTTCTTCAATCATGTTCCATTATTTTTTTCTAGCTGTTTGCTTTACAGAATGGTATTTGTCGTTATTTCATACAAGAAATCTAGTTTACACGGATAAAGTGTATGCAAGTGTATGCTTTCTACTTTTATAAATGTTCTGTGGAATGATCTTGTATACAACCACAATATATATAATATGCTGATGGTGTGCTAAGTGGAGAATATTTTGTATGCACTCACTATTCATAAAGGTGGATGCACTGTTATTACATACGTGCTTTTACTTTAATAGAAGTGTGTAGTAAATAAAGGTATGTCAAATGCGGTGTATATGTTGGAAATTTAACATTAAATAGTTTGTTATAATGGTATTTTTTTTTCAGAGTCAAAATGCTGCACCAAAGTCACTGGATCATGTCGAAGCGCCTGCGAGAAGGTAAATTAAACATTTGAATAATTCTACAACATTACGAGTATCGGTACTTCGATAGAATATAGTTACAATGAACATATAGAGTTTTACCAAGGTGAGGTTCTTTTATAAAAGTATACATACATAGTTACAACATACAATGTGGAAGTCACTTAAATTACCAAGTTACATTGAAATGAAAATATAAAGATATTCGTACAGTTTGAATTTAGATTGGACTAATGTTCTATATAATTTGCGTTAATTTATTAGACCAATATAACGATGTATTGTAGTTTTTATACAAGTGTGCATTAAGAGTAGATTTACATTCTAGTTAATATACATTATAAACATGTATTAAACGAATTCCCTAGTGTCTGATTGTTACTTCAATAGATTCCAAACCTGTTGTTAAATAATGGATATTTGATTACTACATTACGTTTGATCTAGAAACGAGGTCGTATAAATATTCAACTTTAATAGACGTTGACAAAGACTGATATTTACAAGAGGGAAATTGAAAAGAGTAATATTATGAATCAATTTTGCCAAGCCATATGAATAATAAACTTTCCTTTGAAGATGAAAGGCACTCATCGATCGATCAAATAGAATGACTCTTCCTTTACTCTTGCTCTTAGTACACTGTATTAAATAATAGTACTAATACACTTTAGTAAACAAAAGTTTAGGATGTACTAAATGCTTATGAGGGTAAAAAATTGATTTAAATACAATAATTCTCCTAGATAAGATCGCAGTTGTTTAATCACACCATTGTAAAAAAATTAATAAACATATTTTGGCGCAAATCTTCTCTATTCCGATAATAACAATACATTTATGGATTTTAACTCATAAACGTAAATTATCAGCGTCACATTTTGACTCTACAACAAATATAAAAACCAAACAAATCATGTTTGGGCACTTTTAAAACCAAACGTGATTTTCCACAACCGACGGATAACAAAATCAAAACGTTTAATCAACTTCCAATTATTGCAGTCGATTTTATTGCCAAATGAAAAACAATTACTGAAGTACTTGTGTCAATAAATAAATGCAGTACATACACGTTTGGTTTGTAAAATTTGTGTGTGCAAATATTATTAATAGCAAATAACAATATTTGGGATGCCAATTTAATATATGATGTATAATCAAATATCATAAATTTTTATCCCCTCTTTTGTTGCCAAATTATGAATTCTGCTATCTATTCCAAACCACGTTGTAAATCAAATATTCAATACGTCTAATAACACTTAATACCCCTGTCACAGCAAACCTGCATACTAAGCGAATTTCCAATTGTCTTTTTTTAACTTAAATTGCTTAAAATTAACTTTTTAGTAATTTTGCAAAATTACTGTCAATCAAATGAAAAATAACTTATAAATAAAGACCTATAATAAATAAAATTCTTTAATAAATGATCAAAATTGGTGTAGATTTTAATTGTTATTACGCCTAAATAACAACACGTCTGTAAACACTCGTATTTAGAATGAATCTAGCAATAAATCCAATATCCTGAAACAAGCTTTGCTGAAACAACCTTGGGACCTCGAGACCACAGACTGATTGACCAGAACTCACTTTCTGCAGCGTCAAGAAAAAACTTAGACGTCAGTACAAATATTATTACTTTTGGAATAACATGTTTCCAACACCCATGCATGGATGTATTATTTGGTACTGTGATTGCTGTGTTACTAACAATATCTAAACACATTTTAAATATACCTAGAAAGTGTTATTAATTATCAACTTTGATAGCACATGCCGTACTATTTTTCAAAACGTTCAAACAAATCTTTTATAAGACTAGGCGAAAGGTAAAATCATTAAAATAACGTTATTATGAACAGACATCCAACCAGATCTTATGAAACACGCAAAAACTTAAGACATTTTGGTGTTCAATTAGGGTTCTTTTGGCAGATTTAGTTTAACATAATATAGTTTCATATGTTCTTAGTTCTAATGAATAATTTATGATGCCAAGTCAAACACCAGCACTACGCTGAGAAGAAGCAATTTTAAAATATTACAATGCTTAAACCAACTACAAATACTTGTTTTTATAATTTCAATTTTAATAGTAATCCCGATGTCCGATGAAACAAAGCTTATACTGTCTGTTCTGTATGTGCTGTGAGCAAGTACCCCTACCAATCCTAAATACTAGCCAATCAGGACATACAGAACAGACAGGATGAGAAGGATGTTTGGAGGTATCACCCCAAAGGATTAAAGACATGACTTATTTCTTTCAGATAACAAGCCTGACGTGTGCTAGTATTTAGGAGTGGTGTGGGTACTTGCTCACAGCACATACAGAACAGACAGTTTAGGATATACATAGTTGACTCAGCAAAATGCATTGTCTTGCCCTTATACCTTTTAATTGCTATTTTAATATTTTTACATTAAACTAATAAAGACACTACGTCAGTAAAAGTAAATAACTAATCAATGAACTGTCTTGAGCTTTAGAAAACAATATTATTATTGTTGTATTATTGTTGTACAATACTAATATTGTAACACCGCTATTAGTTGTTACACTGCAGTTGTTACTCTACTCTATCCTGATCACGTATAGAGTTATCTCTGCAGTAACTCAGTAAAGTCAGCTGTTAATGTTTAGTTGTGATATCACTCCAGTGCAGTAGCACATGTTATGTCACTGTTATGACACAGCCAGTGCTATAATGATAGCGTTAATGTTGGGATGACATCAAACAACTGGAACATCAATCCTCAATGACTTTTAATACCAAATATACAATTCTTTGACACTTTTTCATTGAGACATTTATTTAAATAACTATTTATTCATTGATCATTATTTAGCCATAAAACAATTAATCCAAGAAAATGGTATCTATTATTTTTGCATCCTACCATCAATTAATCATTTAATATCATCGTCATCCCACCCCTAAAATCAAACCCAAAACACATGAGTAAAATCAGCAAAATTTAGCGTTAAAATCACAAATATGGAGAAACTGTAATCAAGAAATTCCAAATTATAAATCGCCAAATACAAGTTGTTCAGTAACGATGTCATAATACAAATGATATAGTAAGCTATTAAAAGTTAAATTAGAATAATACTTAGTTTTAAAGTTACCCAATATACGACACCCCATCAAAGTTATAAGACCCCAGGACGTGTAGTGAATTTAAGTCAATGTGTGGAAGTTTTAAACACCTTTTATTCTGTAACTATACAATTACAGATTAAAATTGTTGATGTTCAATTTAACTGACATAATAAAATACGAATAGTCTAATCCAAGTTGGCGTTTATTTTCAATTGGTGTTCAACTAGTACAATATTTGATATTTTACTTTTACCCATGATAAACCTATCTCTAAGATTTCACTATTCACAGAACTCTGTAACCATTCTGTTTAGTCGTTGTTTCTGTGATTGCACAAAAATAGAATCATGATTCATATAACGTTTAGGTGGTACATTGGTCTCTGGTGTCAGTTTTATCTAATACTTCTAATATAAGTATTGTAATTAATTTCTTTATATAAGTTTAAATGATATTCTTTTAGACTATCATCACTAAGCTATACTTAGTACCTTGGATGTTTTTGATGGATAATAACCTATGTTTCCTATTTAAAATTAAATTAAATTGTTGATATGCCCGAGGTTGGATGTGACCGTATTGGGCAACAGTTTGTACAAGCTTTCATCATTATTGTCACATATACAATGAGTTGAAACAATAACTATAGATACTTGTTTAGTCTTACTAAACATTCATAGCCAATCTGTATCAAATAAACACCTATATGAACTAAAAAAAATAAATATATAAGTAATATTGGTGGTCTTTCTACAGAAGTAAGTGAAAACTGTTAGTTTATCTTTGTAGTTAAGCAGAAAAATAATTAACAATGTATAATGATTTATTTTTCTATGACAATGCTGCTTATTTGCACGCAATAAAAATAAGTGTAAAATTTAAGAGATAGGATGTTTGAATAATTAATTTCAAAGGAAATATATTCTTGTTTAGAAGAATTAAAATGAGTGTTATTTTATAATTAAAAGAATCGTTCTGGAAGAAGCCTTTGTTTTTAAATGGCATTGTTAATGAGGACATTATATTTTTTCAAAATACTTTTTGTAAAATGCAATGTATAATGATGCAATAAAAGGTAAATAACTCTGTTAGCTACAGATATCTGAAAAACCACAAGATCTTACAAATATTTTCAATTTGATGCTTACCAAAAAATCCTTCATAATTTTATAATAGAAACTACACTTTTCCTGGTCGAAACAGTGGGTGAAACCATTTAACAAACATACTTTCAGTGAAACGTGATCCTAAAAATGCTCGAAAAAAATAGAATATCATATATAGATTAAATTGATCACTATTAACCACTCCAAGCATGATCATGACGATTAGCAAAACGTATATCGTGCTAACCTAAATTGTTATTGGATTTTCTAGTATATAAAATCCTAATGTTAAGAAAACTTAATTATTAATTATAAATTAGTTAATTAAACAACCAACATTTGGAAATTATAGATGATTTTGTAATATCCTCAGCAATCGTAGTTGTCTTGATCAACAATCTTTCAACTCTTGCATACACATTGTACAAATCACTCTCAAACAACAAGATTTGCTCCCAGCGCTGCCGGAAGAGCCCTAGACAGTTCTGTCAGATTAGGGTGATTTATTTGAGTCTGAGGATGTTACACTTGACACATTTTAAAGGGAGGTCGTCAAATGATGACGGATAGTAGGGGAGGAACTGATGGGGCGGAGGGAGATGCATTCGAAGCTTTTACCGTTTAGCTTCAAGCTTGCAAAGCGTCGTGACTATAAGCTTATAGTTACAAAAGTCTTGACATTTTGTAATCTGACATCTGCTAAGGGTCTTCGTGTCATGTGAATCGGATCAGATAGATATCTGAGCTCAGATGTTTTCTCTAACAATGGATAAGTTGGTAAACTTGCACACGT